TTACCCAGACAGTTCACAAAGAACAGCTGAAATCAAAATTAAAATGTTAAACAGTACAACAAAATGCTGTTAGCCATCACATGTCAGTTGAAATCTGCTGCAAAATCAAATTATTCTACATAATTAAACAGGCGAGACGGTAACAAAACACAAATTAAATCAATGATGTGAAAATTGTTCAATCAATCGAAGCATTTAAATACAGTCAAACTTGACTACGGTTTTGGGCAATTGAAGCGAACATATTTTTTAAACACCAACATTAAAAAAAATGAATAAATTTAAATTAATATGTCGCATTTAAAATAAATATGCTTGCCTGTTTTAAAAAAATCCTACTATTATGTCTTTAAACAAAGAACCAATATTTAGAAGTTAAGTTTGTGATGCATAAACAAAAATAATTTGCCAGTCTTGAATCCAAAACTTAACGCCTGGCAAAAATTAAGAAGAAAATGGCTGTGAAGCACTTACGAAAACGTTTAAAACTTGCCATGACCACAAGTCAAGGATCAGGATTGTCAAGATTTGAACATGGAAATTGCACAAGAGTCTCTTATCACACCAGACACCGCACTTTTCATCCATTTAACTCAAAATCCAACACAAACTGCCAAATTCCTAATCGCAAAATATATTTAAAAATAAAAATGAAGTGCGGACCGCAAGCCGAAATGCAATTATTTTTGCCGTCCGTCCAAAAGCCCCGGTATTTGCATATTGTCAACATAATTAAACAGGCTTTTGACTTGTGGTTACACGCCCACTCGAACACACACGTGTACATTGTACATTGTGGCACGCTGCGTATGAATATGTATGAACAACAGTGAACACTCACTCGTTCATTCAAAAAACATTCAGTCGAGTGTCCTTGAGTGGCGCTGCTGAACACCGAGTGCACAACACTGAATCCTGCAGATGCAAAATTGTTTTTGGCAAAGTGCACAATGCACTTGACGACTGTCAAAACGGACATAAGGGGGGGCATAGTCCTGTCCATGTCCTTGTTATTTATGCAAAATGTTGCACAACATTTATTGTGTTTCCCCCTCCGCCGCCTCACAAATAAAATCGTCCTTAACTGAAAGAAAATGAGGACAATTGCAGCAACTTTTCCGGCAATTTTATGTATATATATTGAAACAATGCCGACGTCCTTGCTGCTTGGGTCAGCAATAAAAATTTGTCCTGCGGTAAATGAAATGGATAGCGATTGCGATTGCGATAACTGGCTGCCCAATGGTCAAGCCAGTAAGCGCGAATCTTCCCATAGCCAAAGAAAAAATCACGATAAAAAAGGAGGAAAATCGGCAAAAAACAACGGGCCACCAAATACAAGTTATAGCCGGGTCGAGGTCACCACGGACTGGTGTCCTCTTTCCGCACTTGCCTACCCTGTAATCGCAGTCCTTGAGAGTCGGTCCCCCAGTGTTTCATTAGTTATGAATGGCCATATTCTCAGAAGTCCACGGTTCCAGCCATATTAAAATAATTCCACGGCAATTATTACGAAAGAAAATTGCCTTCAATTACGCTTTTATCGAAAGGAAGTGCACTTCAATTTTGTTAGGCTAAGGTAAAAAATTAAAGAAAGGAATTGTATAAAAAAAAGTTTTTTTACTTTTATATATTTTATATCAACTGCTTAAGAGCTTTTAAGTCTCTTTGATTATTTTATTATCCGTGCAAGTGTATAACATCACTTATAAGTTACTTTTACCAATTCCAACAAATTGTTAATTTTTTTAGGTTGTTACCCATTACCCAGTAGATTACTAAGTAACACCACGTTCACTACTTTCAAGCTGGTTACGCCACTTTTTGTGGGGGAAGAGTTCACGTTGTTTTTGTCTAAGAGGCGATTTCTGTTTCAGTTTTCAACTTGTTGGCATTGCTTTTCGATTTCTGCACTTGTGGGCAAGAAGGGCTTTGTTTTTTAATATTGCACTTTTGTTGCGAGTATTCTGTTACGACTTGTTTTTTTTTTTTGGGAAAGTTTATCTGGCTCGAATTACTGGGTCAATTGGTTGGATGGCCCCCACTGCAGGAAATCAGCTTTTTGGGATCGGGGACAGGGGTTTGCCTAATTAACAAAGTCCTGAAAAGGAAAGTTAAGCACACCCCCACCACCATACAATACGTATACGTATGTATCTCTGTCTCTGTCTCTGTTTTGTTCAACTGAACTTTGACCCGTGCATTGACATCGTTTTTGCGTAAACTACAGAACTGTGTCAGGTAATTGCGTTCAATAAGCAGGTCGAAATGGGAACTGGCACTGAGAAAGAGACGGTGAGATGTGGCAAGAAAGGGAAAGGGATATGGCAAGAGGAAGAGAGAGAGAAAGACAGAGGGTGAGGGTGAGGGAGATAGACACACATGGCCCGAATGCCGTCGAGTGTCACTTGCATCCTGCATAATTGGTTTATCAATTGCTGTTGGCCCATTCAAATAACCAACTTGCTTTTGTGCGTTTAACTCTAAGCATGTCAGCTACCCCCTCCCCTAGTCCCACTGCACATGCCCCATGAAATGACCCAGTAAAATCCAAGATGACACCATCCACAAGCGACCATTCGCACCGGAAAACCACTGCGCCCCTGGACTTTCCCACTTTGACCGCACGAATTTGGAGCGAGGCAATGATTAATTTATGCGAAATCCGAAATGAAATCGTGCGAAAACCAAATTTGCTCGCCACACACAATTTAAATGCGAAAAGAGATGACACTCGCAGGTCTCGGAAATCCTCTGTAAAAATTAAAATCAGAGTAAAGAGAAGGAGGAACAAACGATTGGAAATGTGCAGGACCTAGTTAAATAAATGTGAGCAAACTGCAACTAGCCCTAACTAAATATTACCTCTCTTACTCTGTCCTTAAATATATTTAAAGAATTTTGAGAGAAAATTCGTATGTTTGAAACTCAGCAGAAAAAACTTATTTTAAGTCTTATATAACTATATATTTAATTTTTTATATAATTTCTATCCATTAAACCCCTTTTATCACGGGACCAACATCTTTCTTTAGCACAACTTGTTAATTATAGTGGACCTAATGGCTCCCCAAGATTATTAAGCTTTTTATCGTCTGTCTGCATCTCGGTTTAGTTAACCCCTGCCCAACCCATCGAATATTACGTAACCTCTTCTTAGGGGGGGCTTTATTTAATCCCATTCTCATCCTGGCAGCCAGGCCAATTCAGCCGCACTTAGTGGCACAAAGAGTCTCCATTCCAATTGGCGTCTTCGATGGCACCGCTCTCCTTTTTTCAAAGGCCCCCTTGCTCTTCAACTTGAATGCAATCAAGGATTTTTTCGACTGGCCAAAAGTGTGCTTTCAGCCATGTTCTTTCGGGCGGACACTGGCCCTCCACCATTCTTCTTCCTGGATCCTGGATCCTACATCCTACATCCTACATCCTCCATCCACCAGCCACCAACGACCATTCCCGTCTCAAAATCCCTCCAATCCCCGCCTGAATCACGGTCTGGCCACGATTATAAAGCTCGGGGCATAAATATTAGCAAAGGCGTTGCCGTTGACGTCGCTGCAGTCATTTAAATGTTGTCGGTTGTGGTTCCAGATCCTCCAGAGCTCCTCCTGCTGCTCTTCTTTTGCACACCCCCTTTTTCTCCTGTTCCTGCTGATTATGCCTGTCAACGAAGTTTTCTCATACACCGTAAAAAGTCTTCAAAAATATATATAATAAGCCGTTCTTTTTATATAAAGTAACTAGTAATATAATAGTATTCCTTTTATTACTATTCTTTAATATTAACAACCCAACAAAACAGAATAAGAACAAGAAAAAGAACAGAAATTAAAAGGGGCTAAGTAACTAGAGAATGTCTCATTTGAAGAAACAAAAGTAACGAGTAAATATTTAAACTCTTATGAATTTCCAAAAATGTCCTTAAATTAACATTCTATTCTAATGGAATCATCGTTTTTTCCTGTGCAATACAATGCTTAACCCTTTGCCACCCCAAAAATCCAGCTCGGCGCACAATGAATTAAATGAATCTCAATTTCCGTTCGGTTTGCGGTTAAAAGCCGCAGTCGTCGTCTTGGGCTTCTGGGCAAAATGCAAATTCCCCGGCGGCGAAAATGAAAACAAGCCGAAAAACTCTCGTTGCAACAACACAAATGGCAGAACGGGAACGTGCCGCCCCCTTGACCTTTCGACCCCCTTGTGGGGGGCTGGTGCTGCATCAATTGCCTGGATTCCATCTTCCATTCGCTCCTCAAGTTTCTTCCCGTAAATTGCTGCAAGATGCCCCCGAAAAAACCGATGCCGGGAGCAAGGATTTCTGGCCCCCGAAACTTTTGTGCCGGCAAAACTTTTACAACTGCACCAGGACGATGATGAGATTGGGAGGAGCCGGGGGATTCAGGAGGAGCAAGCAGTCCAAGTCGCTGGGTCGCCGTCTGCAAAAGTTTTGCGATTTGTTTGCGCGAAATAAACGCGACGCAGATAATTTGCGCAAAAGTTCGCTTACTGCCCCGCCGACCTCGCGGAAGCCAACCCGAAATCCATCCGAAAATCCCAGACCCAAGACCCAAGACCCCAATACCCCTTCTCCCAAACCCCATTCCCATTCCCACACCATCTTGTCCAACAATTTCATTTGGGAATATGTATTTCTGGTATGTCCAAATAAACCAACCGAAATGAAAATGTTTCGCGTTCGTTTGAAACTTGTGCGGATAAGTTTTTCCGTTGTTGTTCAGAAATTCCATACTCGTTGATTACTGATTCCATTACCCATGTCACAGGTTTTCCATATTAAGATCAGATTTATATCGTAAATCGTTGGTTAAAGTTTAGTTTATGGTTAAGATATTGAATATTTTCACAAAATCCATTAGATTCACTGTAATTTGCCTTGCTAACAACAATAAAAGGAAATATACATATCTTTAAAACCTGTTTCTTGGTAGTTATGTGCACTCGTTACTCGTTATTTTTAAATAATTTTTGTCTCATCTCCATTTGGTTCACGGATAATTTATACTTGAAAATATATAAATATAAGGAGCCGCGAAACCATTTTGTCGAGGAAATATTGATCCACTTATTACACATTCACTAGTTACTCGCCACTCGTCAATGGAAAAACCTCCGGGACTGCGGCTTCCGGATCGAAGAGGCATACATATTTTGGAACTCGTTGGTGGAGATGAAGTCGATGATGGGCAGTCGGTTGGTCAGCGGCACCACCACATCCTTGGCGGCGATGACACCGCCCACAATGGACGATAGTCCAGAGGGGCCGGGTCTCCCTGCTCCTGGCAGAGCAGCCGAACCACCCAATCTATATGCTCCTACTCCTTCTCCGCCTGCCAATCTGCCCTCGAATCCTGCTCCTCCACCACCACGTTGCTGTCGCACCTGTTGATCCTTCGCCGGCTTCTGGCCTCTCATGCCCAGATTATAGAAGAAGTCCACACCCTCGGTGGCGGTCCTCTTCTCCACTTGACTCATCCACCGGGGATCCATGCGCGGCAATCGTTGTTTTCTTCTTCCCGCCGTCGAAGACTTCTTTATTTTCTGGCCCTTTGAGTCCTTGAGCAGGAAGAGCACCGGAGTAGTGCCCGATTTCTTCTGCGGACTGGCATCTATGAGCTTGGTCCTGCGGGACATTCCCAGGGATTGCAATGCATCCACCGGTTTTTTATGGCTCTTCTTGAAGGTCACATGCGATTTGGCCAGCGGCTTAACCCTGGCGGAACCTAAAATTGTAGGCTGCAGGGCGGCACGCATCAGCGGAGAACGTCGCAAGGGTTTCTTCATCGGATTCTTCAAAGATTTCTGCTGTTTCTTCGGCTTGACGGCCTTGCAGGGTCTCGAGACTTTAGATTTTGACATTTTCTTAACCGCTTTCATTGGCGAACGCTGCTTGGACTTGGTCTTCATTGTTTGTCTATTATGCACTTGGCTCAAATCTCCCGAATTCTTCTTCGATCCGTCGTTCTCAGTTTTAACTGGGAATTTTGGGCGTGATTTCGGGACGGGGGGCTATTTCGAAATCGAATGTCTCGGCTTGACGGGATGACTCGGACTGGGGGGCTGGAAAGACGGACTTCGTAGTGCCTACTCTGTCCCAGGATCTTGAGCACGTACCGCATCTTGTTTCCTGTCACCTCTTGACTTGGCCTCTGCTTGTTTGTTTGTCTTGAGTCAACTTCTATTTGCTTCTCACCCCAGCATTTTTTTTTTCCCATAAAACCTTTGTCTTTGCCTCGGGCTAAGAAAACTTGAAATCAACTTCCGTTTTGTGGCCCTTGATTTGCATATGTATATGCGACATTGCCTTAGGGAAAATACCCTCACATTTGGGGCTAAAAAAACAATATTACATACCTAACCATTAAAAAAGGAACCCCTTTAGAGTAGTGATTTAATTTGTTCCCTATTGATTTTTCCTCCAAACAACTCATTAATAAAGTACGAACATGCACTCGTCTGTGTGTCGATTTTCCTCCATTTTGGTCTATTTCCTTGGCTTTCGGTTTTAGTTTTCCTCTTTGGCTCATTTTGGTGTCAAGTGTTGCGTATCATTTAATGTGACACACTTAACTAGAAAATGAAGGGGGAAAAGTGGTGGAGGGGCTTTTCCAGACTGACAGCCAAACACATGTTGGCTGAATGCTAATTTGCTGTGCTAAGCGAATGACGAAAAACAGGAATAGGACATTAAACCAGGGGGTAAATGCACTAGGGAAAAAGTTTTGGAAAAACAATATTTTTATACCCGTTAATCGTAGAGTAAAAGGGTATACTAGATTCGTCGGAAGGTATGCAACAGGTAGAAGAAAGCAATTTCGATCCTATAAGCATATATATAAGCATTTATATATATATATTGATCAGGATCACTAGCCGAGTCGATTTCCGTCTGTCTATCCGTCCGTTATGCACCCACATTGTTAAAAATTATATAAAATTTGTATATAAAAGAATATAATATATCTATATATATATCCATTTATTTCTCGCCCTGCATTTGACAATATTCAGTTGGGAAACATTATTCAGTTCTCAGGAACAGGAACCTATATACAACAAACACACACTCGAGCAGCTGGCAAGACAGGAAATCAACAGGACACCACACACACAGCTGTTGTAGGGACTTCCGTTTTCGGTCAGCTTTGATATATGATCAGAAATCAAGTCTTTAGCCCGCCACATATGCACATATATAACTCTATATATACATATATGGATATACTCCATCTGGGGACGAGTAAATTGCAAACTGAAGCAATCAGCTCATGCCCATCTTGGTTGTATGTTTATTACCCACTCTTTCGCCTCTTGTTGCCTTGTCTTGATTATCACGTTTCTTTTGTGTGCAGCAATATCAAGTATACGCAATATCACGTATACGCAGCATTGGCCACAGAGTGCTCGCCAAATCTCTATGACATTTCTCACTCTTTTTTGTTCCTCTAAGATTCAATTTTTGAAATTATCTTAGCCTAACACCTCAATAAGTCCCCCGGATGTCAGTTGCAGCCGCCACAACTAGCAACATACAACATGCAATCTCCAATATGCAATCTGCAATCTGCAACCTGCAACCTGCAACACCAGTAGCAAAATGTTGTTTTCCGCTTAAGCACATCGCTGGAAAATAAAAATGGAAAGAAACAGAGGAGGAAACAAAGAGGCAGCTCCACTCCCATTCCCTTACCAATCCCAGAAGTGCGTCCGTCCAAACGTTTGTTTATTTTATTTTGCCGCACAATTTTGCCCCTTCTTTTTCTGCTCTACCCCTGCCCCTGCCCCTGCCCTCTTCAGGCCCTTTCACCGCTTTCTCCTCTTTCTTCGGCTTCGTCTTCTGCCAACTGTTTCTTAAACAACAGCAACAACAATGGGCACAATGAAACCTCAGTCGAGGACCCGGCCAAAAAAGGAGTGCTGGTTCTGCCAGCTCGACATTTAGAATTACCTGTACACTCCTTTACATTTTTTTAAATTTACTTTTTAAATTAAATGCAATTAGTTAACTTTGAAATTATTTAAGTGATCAAAACTTTAAATTTCCAAGCTATTTAAATGTTTTTAGGTATACATTATACAAATGTTATACGCTTTGTATGTTTACAAATTTATTTTGCCATCACTTTAACTTTGTTAATTGATTTTCTTTAATTTTCTTGCTGCTTTTGCTTTTTAAAATTTTAATTTTAAAATTTTTCTGGGAAATTTAAGTTTACAAATTTATTTTGTTATATAGGCCAAACTTAAAATTCATTTATAAAAAACTTTGATCTTAAATTATTTTTTAGAGAAATATTTCCTTTTTCATTTTTAAGTGATATATTTTTAAATATTAACCTTGCTACAACTGAAGTTTTTATTCGCTGAGCCCCTGCTTGTACACCCCTGATATCTTTTCTTCTGTTGTTCATAGTGAAAAAAATGAAACAAAACAAATGAAATACAAAAAGGAGCAGAGGACCGGCACAGAGTCGGCAGAAAAGGATGAAAAAATACAAAAAACAAAAAAAAACACAAATGTGCACATGCTTCGTTGCCTGGAGTGCGCTATTTTGCACCTACGGGATTTTGTGCCTCACACAGATACTCGCACACACTGGAGCACCGAAACACTGACACACACACACATGCAAAGCGTGGAAAATCCATTCGAAATCAGTCAACGCGCCAAGGCTTTCATTCAGTTAGAAAGCAGACAGCAGACAAGCAAGGGCAGGAAAAGGGGTTTTTTAGGTACGGAGGTTGGGGCGCTTTTTAGGGGGTTTTAGGGGGTTTTAGGGGTTTTCAGGGGGGCTTCCACCATGGGACCCCAAGCTCACAAGCTTGAAACGGAAGTGCGGCTTGATTTACTCAACTCGTTTGCTCGCTCGTTTGTTTCCAACTGCTGCAAACATATTTTTCTGCACCACCCCAGCTAAAATATTTATTAGCCCTTAAACAAACGGAATAGATGTGCGGCCCCCCGGAAAACTACACGTACCTTCCGATACGAACCATCTATATATGTATATGCGGGACCCAACTTAAAGACTTTCCAGGCAAATGGCCCGGAAAGCAAACTACCATCTTCCTGCCCCCTCCAAAAAAAAAAGGAAACTGGTTCCATGTTTATTAAAGCATTTCTTACGCATCATTTGTTGCTTTGCCAGCAAAGAAAAAAACCAACAAACATACACAAACGAAAAAACGCCAGTGAAGAATGCAAATGAAATGGCCCAAAGAAAAAGCTAATAAAAGGCCGGAAAATGCTGATGAAAACGCAACTAGAAGTTTGATTAAGTGAAATCTCGAATGAGTAATGCGGATAACTTGAACCAAGGCAAGCCACTCACGGAATGCATCAATCAAAATCGAAAAAATTTAGCAGAAGCACGCCCCTAATTGCTTCGATAGACAGAAAAAGGAATTAAGTAAATCGCCAAAATTAATTGTGAGGGGGCAACGCCAGCAACGTTAAGAAAGTCCAGGACCAAGTCCAAATCCACACAAGGCCAGGTCAATGGACTGGACTTAACTGAACCAAGAGCTGGCGAAAAAAGGAGATGAGGTCTTGGTTAAAAGGAAATAAATTTAAGAAAATCGAAGTACGAAGAATGGAAATTAAAATGGCCGCAGAAGATGCTATCAAAGTTATGCTATCTTTCTAATTTAAAAGATTTTATGCTTTATACTATAGTAAAATATATTTAATCAAGTCAATCAAAGCAGTATAAGAGAAGAGTAAAATATTTAAATACGAAGAAAAGAAATTAAAGTGATACCTGAAGATACTAACACCGTTATTCTAGCTTCTTATTATGTAAAATATTATTTTATTAACAATGCTAAAACCAATGTTAAAGTGAAAAAATAACATTTAAAATAAATCTACTTTTCAAAATGACTGCAAGCGATAAAAATATAACAAGGATATAAGAATAATATATTTAAGGGTAATTCCGTGAAATCAAAGTATAAATAAAACAAAACTATATCGAAGCAGCCATAGCATTATCTGAACCTTTGAAAGCAGCCCAGAACACAAATTCTGATCACAATCATTTCAAACAGCATTGAACAAGGCCACAAGCCAGTCAGAGATCTCCGATTTTCAAAAAATTTTCACATTTTATTATTATAACTATTTTCAATGCCGGGCTTAAATCTGAGGCTGACCGACCGTCAGCGCAAAATTGCCGACAGTATAATCATATCCATGTGCCGCAAGGACTACGAAGAGGCTCTGCACTTGCTGCAGAAATCGAGCAGGTCGAAGCACCGCATTCCTCCCTTCCAGGAGGCGGTGCTGCGCAGGATCCTGCAGCGCCTAATGCAGAAGCCATCTCGACGGGAACGTTTCCGATTGATGGAGCACAGGGAGATCCAGCATCCTGACCATGGCGTGCGAGGACTGCAGGACCTTCTGCTGGCCAGGATGGAAATGCCTCGAGAGACGCTGGACAAGATCTACGAACGGGCCTTCAGACTCAGCTTCACAAACTTCTACAACAATCTGCTCTACGTGCAGAGGGCGAACAAGGTGATCAATTTCAATATGCATATTCTGGCCAACCAGTGCATGCGCTTGATAAGGGCAGACGCGAAGATAGCCCGGATGGAACCAGGCCCATGGATAGACTGGGAGGAAGTATTGATCTACTCTTTCGTCATCTGTGTATCACTGCTCTTGGTGTTTGTTTTCTAACAAACAAACCTCGGGCCTTTTGACAGCTATTGCTAACGTTTATATTTCTTTTTAAATTTGTCTAGTGTGCGGGGGCTAATAAAAAATAATGTTATTGTTTTTGGGCAATCCTGTGAATTTACTCATTAAAATTACACGCTGCGAAACTAACTATTCTGGCAGGCAATAAAACGTAATAAATAAGTTGATTTCGTAGTCAAATGAAAAAATTTCGGAAATGTTTATAAATAATGTTTCGTAGAATTAAAAA